ATTCTAGTAAATCAATAAATTCAGCAGGTATTTGAAAGGTAGTTAAAATGGGATGAATAATTTGTGTGGTTTGGGGTGGTAGTGATCTTTCTGAATTGTATAATTCGCTCCAAATATTTTCTAGATCAAATTTGAAAAGAGCGTCATATTTAAGGGAAAAGGTGTTTTGCTTTACAGCATCCAATGGAAGCAATTCTCGGTTCAGTAGCATCTTAATAACTTCTCGTTGCTGTCTTCTTTCTGCAAATTTTTCAAAAAAGGTGATCTTTGGATCCATTAAAAAAATGGATTGCAAATCATTCTTTGACTTAAGATCACTCACCATGAAATCTTCGGATTTCCAGTAAGATAGAATATATTCACATGATTTGCTTTTAGATAGATGAGTCTCGCTTTGAGTCTTGTGCTAGAAAATATATATTCAAAAAACCGGTAAATTGATATACAAAAAAATACTTTATATTGAATAGTAATAAAATCTTCTCGGTGGATACATTCGAATCACTCTCAGTGGTGTGGTTTGGGGGGTTTAAAACCCATGAAGTCTGCATCACCTTCCTCCTCACACACGCCCACATCAAGGATGACGATCACGCCCGAGATGAAAAAATAACTTTATATAGGGAGAGAATACTCGGATCCTAGGCCTGTCTCGAAAGGCGAAAAGTACCCCTAAGAAGACTATACTATAAAACTAAATGTAATAAAAGATATTTAATCTACTTTTAAAGGATCGTAAAATATGTTCGTGCTTTCTTCGATATGATTAGCATTAGAATTGGAAATATCCTCTCTGACGATTGAGCTATCAGATTTTTCAATCTTAGCTTTTTTTATAGTGCGTAGTTCTTTCTTACGCAAATTTCTCTTGGAGGCCTTCGACATAGTGGGTGTATTTTGTAGCGACATAATGTTGACACAAGTATGTGATTTATAAAAACAAAAATAAAAATTTTTAAGATGTTCTCTTGAAAACTAACAAATTCGGAACAGAACTTTGTAGTGAGGATAACCCTTTTATTATAAATCACGACTTATTCTTATTTAGTACATAACAATCTAATACGAAGCAATATACAATATAAATGACTCGGCATTGCAATAATCCAACACGAGTCAACTAACAATTTTTATTTGGCGTCATAATAATTACTAACAAACAAACAAACAATTGCGTGTTTACTAAATTCGGCACCACAATTATTGAACACGATAGATCAACCAACAATTACACATTTTCTATATTCGGGATTAGATTATTAATAGGCATTTGGCTCTACCCGATAATATACTTTTAATCATATTTCCCCATATGAGGTGTTGTGTGACAAATAAATTTAAAATAAGCGCTATCGTTATTAGTTATGTAGTACATATTCGATTGGAGGCAGTGAATATTCGAAGAGTAGATAGGTTTGGCTACAAAAAGAATAGGCGTATATGTGGATTTAATTAATAGCGCATTATTTGGAGTTATGATTTTCAACTTTGGATAACGTGAATTTTATAGAGTTTGTTCGGTCATTTAAGGTAATTAATTATCACATGAATGATCGAGTCGAGAGTCCAAAAGTACTGCTTTCTCACATAGTGTATTCGAAATCATAAAAAATAATACAGGATCTGAGTTCACGAAAATAAATCACTTTTTTTCGCACTAGTAAATTCTAGTCTCAGAAAGCAAATGACATTTCACAGTCAGATCCAAATATATATAAAACTTTTCGATACTGTGATTTGCATCAAGAATTTTATTTATTATCATGCTTATGTTAAATGGTAATCAAATAAAAAATAGAACAACTTATATAATTTATAATTTATAATTTATAATATATGATGCTGTCACTAGTTTAGACTTTTCCATTCCATGATAAATCCTGACCCCTAGGAGCTAAATTTCCGTGACCATCCTTAGAATACTTCTGACCCCCGGAAAGAATAAAGTTACCAAGCTTAATCTGTGCTTGCTCACCGACTTTTTTGCCATTAATGTAAAGAAGAGTCTGGGGAAAGATAGTGCGACTTACTGTAACTGAAACCTGGTGACTGCAACAAACCTTCATATGAACTTTGGCGTAAATAAATGGTGCATCATATCCTGACAGACTATATTAGAGTTTTCGTTCAGATCGAGCTAATCGGCTATCCCTAAAGTCAAAGACATTTAAACATATGTTTTTTCTATTTCTATTCCACTATATCCCATTTAATGGATATTCGATGCAAATATCAGATGGTGAAAAAAAAAATTCACCTTCTTCTGTATATGTAATATAATTTTTTGTATATCCATAGGGATTGCGTTCAACATTGATAACTTCTTCAGGATTGTTGGTTGGGTTGCTTTGATCAATATAATCAGGATCACTAGGATTATAGCTGACAAGCTGACCATTAGCACTGCAGCTAACATTAAATTTGGGAATATGGACATATTCTCTGTATTCTTTGCTCATTATCCATTTGTAAAAAGCTTCATCATTATATTTGTCATTTATGTTTGGGAAGGAGTCAGGGGTCCTTATTTGCTAAAAATTTTAATGCAGTGCATAAGGTAAACGAAGTCAGTTCTGATAACTTTACTATTGTCTGCAATTCTCTCATACAGTTCTCCCATAGTCCGCTCTTGATGTACGAGATGGAGAGAATATCTGGCGTCTGAAAGGTTATTGTCTTTCCCGATAACGCACATTAAAACAAGAAGGTAGCTAAGATGATGATAATTTTACCAAGCATAACAGCTTTTGTATGATTATAATTAATGCTAAGATCTGAATTTATCGATTTATTTGCAATGTTATGAATTTGTTTGAATAAAAACAAGTGGTTTATTTGCTAAAAATTTTTTATTTCTCCCGAGTATTTAACAGAAAAGCATATACACAAGAAATCATATATATATCTTCTTGTAACGCCGGAATATATAGAAAGAACGGTTTAAGTTATATGCAAGAAATTTACTACGCAAGGTGATAAATTACATGAATAAATATATGTTACTATATTGATTTGTACTATAAACTATTCTTTTTAGAAATAACTCAAAGAAATATAAACAAAAAAATTCAATTTACTTCACAAAAATTATTAATCACAAATCAAATTAGTGCCAGATTAAAATAATTATAATTTTGTTAATACATATCTAACATAGAATCACACCCTAATGAAACACCGCATTTAAATTTCGATCGATGCAAAAATGAAATATCATATTTAAACTTTGTTCTGAAGAAAATTTTAAAATAATTCACTATGCATGATATAATCTGGTATCAGTTAATTTGAATAATGATAAGCAATACAGTAATACACTGATATCTGCAAACATATATGCTTTATTTTAACACAACAGGTACGTATGGCACAAGTTCGATCACGATTTTTTTAGACCGAATATTCGAAATCCAATAAACATTTGTATTATATAACAGATCTTATATTTTGCCTATTCTAAACAGTACTTCAACAAGTTGCACAAAATTAGATGTAAGGTTTTGTGACACTCTCCTGCAGAATCATTTCTCACAGTCGATTTTTTGATTTATAACGAATATTATGAATTATATCTAGACCATTTTCTTATTATATAAGATCGTGCGACAAGAATGGGACTTAAAAAGGTTATAAGGGTAATACGTATAATGTTCTTAATCAGTAGTTTGGTCCAAATTCACATGTTGCAGGAACTTGGAATTCCCAGATCGTCAGATCTAAACCCACCTTAAGCGATCGTCGAATCTAAGAGGGTTAAGTTTACCAGAAAAAATAACAAAATAGGCTCAGTGTTTGGAACTTATGACCGAGCGGAGTTGCTTTTTGGAGAAAAAACTGGCATTAGACTTGGGTAACGTAATTACTAATGTATTTTATTTTTTAGATCTAGTGAACCGAATGGTATAAAAATGAGCGAGTTCCCACCTTAAGATAAGTTAGCAATAACGTTATTTTTGCTCATATATATTTTTTCTTGATTTACCTGCCCGTAATTTATTTTTAAAGTAATTTTGCTATTTCATTTAACCAAGGTTATGAGAATGAATTTTTACTTACTATTTTTTGTATTTAGGAACGAAAAATGAGCACTAACGATAGCACCACCCCCAAGACTAGCGACCTTGAAGCCTCCAAGGAGAATGACTATGTCGATATTTATCTTAATTGTCTCATCATGCTCTGCTTACCATATCATTTTTTTAAAATCAAAGTTTCTAATGGAAGTGATGTTGAATCATTAGAAACTCAAGTTCAAGCCTGTTTGTCCCTATTACCATCTGGTGCAACTAGCACACCTCGCCGGTTTTTTATATTTCGCCCCCAAGGAGGATATGTGAATATGCATCCTCATACTAATCTTTATACTCTTTTCAGTAATAATCCTGATCAAAATATTATTCATGTA